TTTTTTTTTTTTTTTTTTTTTTTTTTTAATCTCGGGTGATTGTTGCAGGAATCAATCCGTGCGACGAGGCGAAGTGCGGCCCGTACGAGCAGTGCGTGATCAACCGACAAGGGATCGCGAGCTGCGAGTGCGGCCCGGAATGCGAGCCGGTGATGAGGCCGGTATGCGCGCGAGGTGGCAAGACGTACACGTCGTTGTGCGAGCTGAAGAGACAGGCCTGTTTGACGAAGACCAACATCGAGGTCGCCTACACGGGGACCTGTGGCTCCAGGGGGCCCTGCTCCGAGAAGGTCAGTCGAGCCTCTCTGCTCCAGGTGTTAGATAGGCGGACGTAACGTAAGGGAACAATGGCAAATATTTGAACGTGCTAACAAACACGCGCGCGCGACGTGACGAAAATCGAGGCGCGGTTGTGCGAGGTGTGACAGAGTCGCTTCGCTAAGTCGTTAAATCTAAGAAGAATAGAGAAGAATCGCAGCTATAGGAGATAATTTTGCGATTTAGTACGAACATAGTCGAAATGTTATTTGGAAATTGCAAAAAGAAAAAAAATGTAATAGCATCGTATATATCTTCGAAATGAAGAAAACGTTATAAGATCGAGCGAACAGAGTAAGAATAATAATTTCTGTATCTAAAGTTCGAATCTGCGTAAACTGAATATGCGCAGTCTATTTATCATGCTTCCTGTTAATCGCGATCTTTATATACTCGCCGCACTCCGTTCGCTCTAAAAGGAAGAAAGGAGAAGTAGAACGGGTAGAAATCAGCGATGGCCGCGACAAAGCACTACGACGATTTACGTTAAATCCTGCGAATTAAAGTAGCGCGTAAATTTCGCGTTGCGATAAAATATCACCGGCGATAAATTATCGGCTTTGCGCCCAGCGACTATCCGAGAAAACCTACGACAAAGGGGCTGCTGTCGCCGAGAGGTGTGCCGTGAAAAAAGCAAACGATGATCCGCCGCGATTAATCTCGCGTTTTTCTCTCGGTTGAAACCCAGAGAAAAGGAGAAAGAGAAAGAAAGAGAGCGAACAAGAGATAGATAGATAGATAGATAGAGAGAAAGAGAGAGAGAGAGAGAAGAAATGAAATGAATCGCCGCGTTTGGGATCGGAAACGTCCGAGAGAAAAAGTCAAGCTGATAGGAAATTCTTTTGCAGATCTGTCAGTGGGGCGCGATTTGCGCGGAAACCGGTGGCACAGCGATTTGCGAATGTCCAACCTGTCCGGCGGAATTTCAACCGGTTTGCGGCGACGATGGCATCAGCTACGGAAACGAGTGTAAGCTTCGCCTGGAGGGCTGTAAACATCGACGAGAGATCCGCGTGCTTTACCAGGGACTCTGCAGTGAGTACCCAATCCCCGGCAAACGGGGGAATCTCTTTAATTCTCTGGAACCTTCATTCCCGATTCGTCGAACCCACCTTTTCTCCCTCCTTCGTTACGATCTCCTTTTCATTTTCGCTCGGGTATTCCGCAGGCGCTTAATCGATCGTTTTACACGTCCGACAAATTCTGAATAAAGAAGAAATTCCATTTCTTTTACGATTGTTAATTAATTGTTAACTTGAAACCAACTCGAATAGAATTGGAATATGTTAAGTCTCTCCTAATTCAAGAGACATTTGCAACACCTTCCCTCTGTCTTCTCATCGGATTTTTCTATTTTCGACGGAAGTTCCATATCAGCGGACAATGCGGGAAACACGAATAACCGAATCAATTAATTTGTGAAAAAAAGCTCAATTAATTTGTCGACAGCACGGGGATACATTTAGAAGGGAGAAATAGATCAGGAATTACGTGCAAACGAACTTAACGCGGTATTGTCACTCTCACGTTGGATGTCTAATCATAGATACGTCATTCTTAGATTGAGAAATAAATTATTATCCGGTTTGTTTAAATGGGGAGCCGTTGCAAATTGCCGTTCATGGAGCAATTTATAGTCGTTCTTCCGAAATAGTAGCTGATTAAGATCTCTCTGGGCGAAATTCGTTGATTGAATATTGATCGACCAGGAAAGAGGAACAATTAGTACGGCAGCACTGGGTAAATAATTAAGGAAACTTTATTATGAAGCGAGTCGGTGGGCGAAGGAAAAATCGAACGACGGTCGATTCCGACTAACTGAGCTCGTTATATCGGGAATTCGGCGTAATTAGATTCGGTCCACAGCGACGTTTTTCCTTTCCTTCCTTTCTTTCTTTCTTTTCCTTTTGTCTAACGAAATCAACTTGGGAGTCTAAGGATTTTTGTAGATATTCGATTTACCGCAGGACGATTTGCATACGATGCATGTGAAACCTTTTGATCCACCCTCTACGCCAATACCATGATCCTGTTTGCATATTGATCAACAGGGAAACTTTGTACTTAAGAATTTTTCGTTAACGGTGTTTGCATGTTTACCGAAAAATCCATTTATGGAAATAAATTTGCAAACCGGAGGCGAAACTTCGTTTAAACCTTCTACGATCG